TATTTGAAAAAAATAAATATTTGCAACCTTTGGTTTTTGATTTTTTTAAAATTCAATTTTTGAGCTAGAAGGCTCATCTTCGAACTCGATCTATCTTTTCATGATACAAAACGACCCTGAAATTCCCAGATCGCTCGTTCAATTCATTCTCGAGTTATCGTGCGGACAGACAGACAGACAGACAAACAGAATGAAACTTTTCCGGTCAGTGGAGTAATGGGCTTCGCTGATCGCTCAGCCAACAACGCAGTTTACAACAAAACCATATCTAATACACTTGCTTCAGAATATCGTTATGTAAATCTCTCTGGGGGAAAAGGGGGCCGGACTAGGTACATAAGTGGCAAGCATTTCAATTAAAATTTTCTATCTGGAATTTTCGTTCCTGTGTTGCAAAATAAGAAGACCAAAACTGGGAAGAGTGGGGTGGGCCCGGGGGCAAGTGGAGGGGTGGAGGGAGAAGGTTGCAGTGGAGAGATGCTACCCCCACCACGCTCTTTGTCTCTCTTCCGTCGGCCCGTTCCTCGCCCTATTCGACCGACAGCAGCCACCGGAGTGGAGTCACCTCGTCGATCTCCAGTCCGCTTCGCTTCAATTGTCATGGCATCTCCACCATTGAGGTGAGGACCATACCCCACGCTGGCGTTGGTTTTGCTGGCCCACCCTTCTGTTTTGTTTGAGGACGGAGTCTTTTCTGTGGTATTCTTTTACCCCAACTGGCAAGTGCTCTTGTAATTTGGGGTTGTATCGAAGTTCAAGACAGTGGCCCAGAACACGTTGTTCAATCTCATTCCGAAGTGCGTTAGTTCTGTTTAATTTGATTGCTGCGAGGAGACTGCTTGCTTACGATGAGAAGCATTTTTTAGCCCGCCCTTCTGCTTTGAAAAAGCTATCCAGCGGGCTTATGCAAACGACCTCGTGTCTGTCTGTCTGTGTGTCTGTCTGTGTGTCTGTCTGTGTGTCTGTCTGTCTGTTCCACTAGAAGGAGATGTGCTAGAGACTTGAAATTTTCAGGGTATCTTTAGGTCCACTTCTAGAGAACGAAACGCCTACGGCAAATCCTGTCAGCCACCCCTAAGGGGCTGAAAGGGGGTATCGAAGAAAATAGGCAAGGCCAAAAAAGTTGGAAAAAATATTTTTTTTTATGATCTCCTAAGGGGTAACTCGTTAAAGTAGAGCCCTTTGGGCGAAAATTTCGTCCGTTTTGCTCCATCTCTAACCGTTTACGCGCTAGAGGGTCTTTTTTGACGAAAATAAGCTAAAAATTGCCATAGTGAACAATAAGTTGTAGTGAAAGGCCTAAAAACCGCAAAATGGAAAGGTGACTCTCCCCCCCACCCCCAAAACACGTTTTCTAAGCAGAAGGGTGGGTTGCAGTCGCGGTGCTTCACCGTTACATCCCTTTCTCTCGTCTTTGGGGCAAACTCAAAGACGACGGGTTTAAGCGGGCCGAAGGCCCGCTTCATCATTTGATTATGTTCTACAGCAAATCGCGTGACAGAAATGGTCGGGCCGCAGGCCCGACCATCGCCGCCGGCAGGCCAAGCAGGCCCGGACCCTGCACTGTAAAAAATGTTGGGAATTCTACTATACGCATGTGTAGGAAATTTCCTATACATCGTATCGGACGTGAAAATTCCTATAAATGTATAGGAATTTTCCCATTTGGGAAGATGCGTATGGGAAGAGTACGAAGTGTATAGGCAAATCTCCAGAAATGTATGGGAAAATTCCGATACGTGTCTGGTAGGCATATTTTCCTTAATGTGTATAGTAAATTTACTTGATGACGCCAATTTTCCTATACAATGTTCGGAATTTTTTTAAAAAACGGGTAAAGATCACATCTTTCTACCTTACACATCTTGGCCTGCGCGGTCATTTTATGAGCTTATATCTGCCGCCTGACGCCACACCACACAGGGTTGGAAAAATTTAGAGTCTATATTGTTCTATTTAGCAGTTTAAAATCCGATAATAGAACTTCAAGTAAGGGCAGGAAGTAAAATTCAAAACTCGACATCAAAACATCTAGGAGTAAATGCCCAAAGGCGTGGGCTAGCCCCGGCACCACGCCGACACCTGGCTGACCCTCTGGGAATGGCCCAGCGAGGGGCGGTGCGCGGCTCTGGGATGACCCGGGGTTGGTGGGGCACGCCTCCCAACAAGTCCCCGTGGTATAGTGGTCAGCGTGACGGGATCGCAAGCCAGAAGTCCGAGGTTCAACTCTCCATCCGGTAAAGTATTACAAAATTACATCAATGCTTGCTTAAATGAAAATACTGAAAGGCGGTAGGAAGGCGACAAGGAACAAGGGCAACGGCGGGGAGTGGTTAAAAGAACTTTTTCTTTTTTGAAAGAGCATTGAGTGTATAGGAAAATTCCTATACATGTGTAGGGATAATGCCACACACACATAGTACATATCCTACACAGGGGTACAGGAAAAATCCTATACTTGTATGGTAAGAATACTATCGCGTATGGTAGAATTACCATACGCCTGTATGGGAAAATTCCTATACATGTATATGTGAATTGCTGCAGATACATTTATAGGAAATCTACTATAGAAATTTTTTACAGTGTGCCGAACGGAGTTGCCGGCGGAGTGAAGCGGAGCTGGCAACTTCGTTTGGCGGAAGGGCGGGCCTGCTTGTTCCAATCGTGACGGATTCCTTTTCGTTGGTTGCGGTCTTATCTTTCTAATTGACTTCACGCGTAGTGCGGCGGGAGGGGCGTACGCTTCTCTCGCTACGGGCTTCTGTGTTGTGAATTCCGGTTGCTTAGCTGTATCACGATCCTTCAATTTCATTCATTTTGTGTTTTCTTGGTCGCAGTC